GACCCAGCAAATTAATATAATTTGGTGGGAGCAGTGGGAATTGACCTGTTTGAATTCCTTGTTGACACCCTGCCTTGAAAAATTTTCTTCTCCCATCCCATGAGTAGTCATAACAACAAGATCAACATTTACTATTCGGTAGTCAGGATTGACAAAATTAGCTGACTACTGGCAAAATCGTCATCTGCCTCGTGGTCTCAGCTGTCTACTTTGCTGGGATATTTACTGCATTCTTGAGAAAATGGTGGCAAACCAGCTACCTACTCCATCAACAACATAATAGCCACCTTAAGTTCAAAACTTTCTCACAATCCTGGTGGTTTTTTTTTCTCAACAGCAGTTGCAGTTCTAGAGTTCAACACACATAGACATACCTCCTGCTTAACAACTTGACAATGAGACTGGTCCACTAAACCACTTGGTAGCTCTGTGACACTGTCTTCCACAACAAGATGTGTACAGCGACTATCACTGGCTTCCACGGGCACCCCACCTAAAAGGCAATGTTGTCAAAATAATTGCATAATGGCTCTGTGGAGCGTGCATCAAGAAAACCAATTACCAACCATCTTGAGGTAAGTTTTCTTATAAAGAAGTTCATTTCAAAATGTTTTGCCAGTCTGTGAAAACCCATTGCTCTCTGACCTGCTGAAAACGTTCATGAAACCCTTGCACTAGCCCCAGGTCATGAGACATAGCTTTCTTTACATGCTGTTAACAATTTTATTTCTGCCAATTGTCACAAAATCCACCTATAAACAAGTCTACGACGTGTTTCAGAGAAATAAGATGGGGTCTGCAGAGGCATGTCTCCCTAGACCTGAAGGGAGGTTTTTGCACCTAAGTTGCTAGCAAAGAGGTATTAAAATTGCCTTATCTTTTACAGGGAATGTATTAGAACTGAGCAGGAGTTATTAGTACCTTGCTGCTCTGTGGATTCTTCCATGTGTTTTTTCTCCTCATCAGAAAATCCATGGAAACTGAGAAAACATCTATGAAATGGCATCATCTTGAATTTTTCCTGTGACAAATTAAACAAGTCAACATTGTCTGCGTGGTAGCCTAATGGTCTTTGCTGCGACTTGAGATCAAGGGTGGAAATTTCTGGAAGATTATGACCTACTTACAAGATGCTGGCAACAGGCAGACTGCTCAAGATTCTAAAGTGTGCTGAAATATTTGCTATAGTGGACTGCTCATGCACAAGAATCTGCAGCTGACTGCAAATTGAGACGAATCTGATCACTTCTGATCTGTTGGCTTTTCTTTAACTATCAGAGGAAAAAACTTACCATTCCATCATCCATTGCGTTTGCTCCACTACAAAAGAAAATTAACAAATTTTTTTAAAAGTAATATTCCCAACAGCGTTCCTACACATTATTTTAAATGTATGCAGAATTCAAGACCTATTTTGTACATTTTCCAATCATTATATCAAGTAATTTTCTTTTTCCAGAGTCAAACAACAAGTACATTTCCTCAAAACGTAACCAAAATATAATTAATAACCGTGCATGTATTGTAACTTGCATTGTGAACCTACAGCCCTCATGGTGCAATGTGGACACACATGTACCTGGGTAACATGGGGAGAGTCCTCCAAATTCTGCCACTGAACATTTTGACCAAGGCAAATTTGAAATTTGACTAGCTGGCAAACTTGCTGCAGCTTGGCAAAAACATAAACTCCACATGTCCTTCCAATTTTCAGATGTGATCTTTATTTTCTAGACTCTGGCAGGCCTCAAAAAACTGTTTGCAAATTTACCATTTAATATTCCAGACACTGTACAAACCCTGTGCATCTGTGAGAGAACTGAAGTGTCTCAGTTTGTGCTCAAGAGTTCTTTCCTCACGAGAAACTGTAAAAGACAATCGGGCTGCTTAAACTTCTAATCCTCCATTCGTAAGAAAAAAGATGGCAACTGGTAATTAACAAATAACCCATGCTTCTAAGGGCACGGAAACCTTCCAAATACTTATAAAAACAGACAGAAAAGTTCCAAAATCTTCAAACCTAGCATACACAACGTCATTGATACTGTATGGCTTTCCTTGGGCCCAATTGGTTGTGTTAGGTTTGCAAGCTACCATCAGCAGTAAAATGTTCAGCTGCTACATGTATCTTTTTTCCTCTGGAGGACTGCAACCCATGGATGTCATATCAA